ATCAGGGATATGTAAATTAAAACAGTAATGTTATCTTTGCACACATATTTGATCAAAACTCATACCACTGATAATGCCAAATTCTGTTGAGCATGGAAAGCAAGAGGAACACTTGTGGGAGGGAGTACAAAATGGTACAACCACTTTGAAAGACGGTTTAGCAGTTCTTGTAAAACTAAACATGGTTGCCATGTGTTCCAGCAATGACACTCCTGAGGTATTCACCCAAAGGTATTGAAAACTCAGGACCACAGAGAAACCTGCACACAAATGCTAATAGCAGCTTAATCGTAATTTCCATAACTTGGAAACAACCAAGATGTCTTTTTGAACAAGAGTGGATAGACAAGTGGTACATCTAGAAAATGGAATATTATTGTTTGGCAAAGAAAAGAGCTATCAAGCGTGAACAGAGGAAACTTAAATGCATATTGCCAAGTAAAATAACCTGATCTAAAAAGGCTATCTAATGTATGATTCCAACTCTATGGCATACTGGAAGTTGAACTATGTGAACAATAATCCCCATATTGTTAGGAAGAAAAGATGGAGCACACTGGAGAAGCTAGGATCCATGGATCATTCCTCAATATAATAAAGGTTGCATCTGGTAAACCTACAGCCAGCATTTTACTTAATGGTAAAAAGTTAAATTCCATTTCCTCTAAAATCAGGAATGAGACAAGGATGTCTACTCTCTCCACTTCTCTTCAATATAGTACTGTAATTCCTAGTCAGATCAATAAGGCAAGAGAAAAACATAAAGGAGATCCAAATAAGAAAGAAACAAGTAAAACCCTCCCTATTTGAAGATGATATGATCCTCTTATTGTAGAACCCTATAGCTTCCTTCTCCAAGTTACTTGAGCTGATCCAAAACTTTGGCAAAGTAGCAGGGTATAAAATTAACCCACAAAAATTAGCAGTTTTTCCATATGCCAACAAAGAGAAGAGAGAGACTGAAATCAGGAAAGCAATTGCATTTTTAATATCCTCAAAAAATAAAATAAAATACCTAAGAATTAACTTAACCAACTGTGTAAAGGACCTCTGTGATGAAAACTTCAAATATCTGAAAAAAAAATCAAAGTAGATTTAAGGAAATGGGAAAACCTTTAATGCTCCTGGATTGGAAAGATTAAATCATGAAAATGGCAATAGTGCCCAAAGCGATCTACAAATTCAATACAATACAATACAATCCCAATAATATTCTTCAATGATATAGAGGAAGCAATCCAAAAATTCATATGGAATAATAAAAGACCCTGAATAGTGAAAGTAATCCTTAGCAGGAAGAACAATGCTGGAGGAATATCAATACCAAACTTCAAACTTTATTACAAAGCCATAGTAATAAAATGACTTGGTAGTGGCACAAGAATAGGCCTGGGGACCAAGGGAATAGAAGACCCAGAAATGAACCCACAGATCTATGGCCACCTAATATTTGATAGGAGAGCCACAAAACACAGGATGGAAGAAAGCCTCTTCAACAAATGCTGCTAGTAGAACTGGCTAAACATGTGCAGAAAACTGAAGCTAGATCCTTATATATCACCCTGCACCAGAATCATTTCCAAATGGATCAAAGACCTCAATGTAAGGTCAGATATGATGAAAATATTACAGGAAGAGATGGGGGAAACACTAGGGCTCCTGAGCATGAGCTGAAAATCCTAAGTAAAGATACAGAATCACAACAAATTAAAGATATATAAATGTGATTGCATCAAGTTGAAGAGTTTCTGCATGGCAAAGAACATAGCTAGCAAGATAAATAGAAAACCCATAGAATGGGAGAAAATCTTTACTAGCTATGCATCACACCAGGGCTTCATATTTATAATATACTTAGAGCTCAAAAAATTAAGCCCCCCCCAAAAAAAAACAAACTGCCAAAGAAACAACCCAATTAATAAATGGGCTAAAAACTTAAAGAAAGACTTCTCCAAAGAAGAAATAAGAATAGCCAATGTATACATGAAGAAATGTTCAACATATCTGGCCATAAAAGAAATGCAAATCAAACAACATTGAGATTCCACCTCACCCCAATTAGAATGGCCAAATAAACAATAACAGATGCTGGTGGAGATATGGCCTAGAGAATGCTTCTACACTGTTGGTGGAAATGTAAACTGGTTCAATCACTCTAGAAAGCAGTATGGAGGTTCCTCAAAAGACTAAATATAGAACTTCCCTGTGACCTAGCAGTTCCACTCCTAGACATCTATCCAATAGACTATGAACAAGACCACACTAAAGCTATCAGCACAACCATGCTCATTGTGGCATTGTTTACCATAGCCAAGATATGGAATCAACCCAGATGTCCCTCGATGGATGAATGGATCAAGAAAATGTGGTACATTTATATAATGGATTTCTATGTTTCCATCAGAAAGAATGACATTGCCCCATTCGTGTCTTATATGTTTATCTGATTTGGTGCCGTGGCTCAAGTGGTAGGGCACTAGCTTTGAGCTGAAGCTGGACAGCGTCTAGGCCCAGAGTTCAGGCCCCATGATGGGGAAAAAAAAATATCATTGCAATATGAGACTAGAGATCAGGGGCATCTTAGAAGCAGTCATAATACTGCTGCTACTTCAATCACTTGTTTTCTGTCTTCATGCTCTGCTTCTCGCCAAAACCTTGACATCTCCAGAAAACTGCTTTTCCTATGCCTGCATTGTTTCCCTTTGGTTCCTTCTTCTGAACATGCCTTCTGCTCCTCCTTCATCTTCCTCCTCATTCATATTCAAGTTGCACGTGAAGCATCAGCACCAGCACGTGGAGGTGGGGGGTGGCGCGGGTGAAGCTGTCTGCAGCTTTCCAGGTGCTGCTCCCTCCCTCCTCAGACTTCCACCCTCAGGGTGATCTCATTGCAGTGTAATTGTTTCCAGGCCTGGGGGCTATGGAATGGGACTGGATTTCTTCATGGCTTTGGAATACCCAACATTAGGATCCAGTGGGTGCTCAGTGATAACTAAATGCATGCATGCTCTTGGGATGTTACTAGAGAGACACATGAATATGAACACATGCGGTGAAGAATAGAATCATTTTTCAAATGCATGGATGCCACCCATCCTTTTCAAGCTGGATCCAGTTCTACCTTTTCCCATGAAGTTATTCCTTCAGGCCCCATCTGTGCTACTGAGGTAGCACCCTAAATGCTACTCAGTGAGACTGTCCTTCAATATTCTTTATTACATTTCAAATGCTTATATCTAACAAGATAGATAGTAACTTAAAGGTAAGGATCATGTTAAAATTCACTGAATCTAATATGCTGATGAGGTAACTCACCAGAACAGCTTATAGGTAAGGGAAAGACAGTGCCTTGGGGGGAGGGGGAAGGAGGAGGGGGAGAAACACCAGAATATTGACTATCCATCAAGAGGCCATGCTCTCTGGATGGAGCTTTATGGCTACAAGAAAGTAATTAGTTGTGAATGTCTCAAGACTATCTGTGTTGCTTCCTAAAATCCTCTCCCTCCCTCTACACCCCATACAAGCTAGGATAGTGATTTTAATAGAGAACTAGAACCCTGGTAGAAAGAGAACAATGTTCAGCTCATTCAGTGCTACCTAGGAAAATTGGCCCAACTGACCTATACATGGGTTACTTTTTGTGTTCAACAGCAAACTTCCCCCTCGCTCCCTGGTTAGAGTAGTTGGGGTTTTCTAGTTAGCTCCTCCATGAACTTTGTATGAGGGTCTCCCAGGCACAAAAGCAAGTACTTGTTTTTGCTATCACATGTTGATATGAGCAGATAACTAACCAGTCACTCCACCAGTGCTTTAAAACACCTCCATGGGTTCAGCCTGTGGTCAGTATGCTAGTTGGTATGATAGTTACAAAAGGATGTGAGGGGAGGACTTTGCATTCAGGAAACCAACCTATTAGACCTACTCACTGACCTTCAGGATCTCAAAGACTGATAAAAAATGGTCCAAAAGAGGTGAAGTCAGGAAGTACATAGGAAGGGACAAAGACCAACAAAAATCAATGAAGACCCACACTAGAAGGAAAACAGTTCTTCATGTCTATGTGATTGTTCACAAGGGAGGAAAATAAGTGAAGCACAAGTTGGTCAATGAAAGCCTCACAAACAGTGCAATAAACAGCTGGTTGTCACCAATCTGTTAGTAAAAGCAAGGGTCATGGAAGATAAGATCCTTATCACTGTGAAGATGATCCTCCGGTGGCATGTGGAATAAATGTAATGTATGCTGGATTCTACCCTGAAAATATAGGAAACAAAATGGCTGAATAACTGTGGACTTAATTAACTGTGTATCAATACTGACCCATCACTTATAAGAAATATAGCATACTGACAGAAGGCGAAAGTAATAGGGAAGCTGAGGACAGGATATATGAGAACTCTCAGTACACCTTGCTCATTTTTTCTGTAAATCTCAAACTGTCCTAAAAAACTAAAGTCTGATTTTTTTTTTTTTTTGGTTGGCTGTGGGCCTTGAAATCTGGACCTGGGCACTGTCCCTGAGCTCTTCAGCTCAAGGAGAGCACACTTCCATTTGAGCCACAGCACCACTTCCAGTTTTCTGGTGGTTAACTGGAGATAAGAGTCTCATGGACTTTCCTGCCTGGGCTGTTTGAACTGGGATCCTCTGATCTCGGCCTCCAGAGTAGCTAGGATTACGGGTGTGAGCCACCAACACCCAGCTAAAGTCTAATTTGTAAAAGGAAGAAGAGGTGGTCATCCGGCTACAGACCATCCCTGGTATGAAGATAGGAAGGAACCCATTTGACAATGACCCTGTTTCTACCTAGAAGTGACTTCGTTGTTAGATGCCATGTTTGCGGCTTGATCATCAATGGCTACAACAACAAGTCATGACTTGCTTTTTCAGGGCTGATTTTTGGCAGGCAGAGGCAGCATTTGTGCACTGATTATAATTTTGAGATGCATTGTCAGTAACCAGGACATATAATGGATCTTCATCTCTAATTACTTTTCTCTCCACAGGTGTCTGGAAAGGGTCCAGATGGGAATATGCACAACCTCCGCTTTGAAGGGATGGAGAGACAGTACGCATCCTTACCCAGGTAAATCACAGAGGGGTCTCACCCACAAATGAAGTCTTTGGAAAAATCTACATAAAATAGAAATCTGGCTTTGAAACTGGGAATATGTTATATTTTGCCTTCCTGCCATCTGCTGCAGCCCCAATGTCATCTTCACAACTGTGCTAATAATTGAAACACTTGTAGGTTGTTTTTAAGAGGAAAAAACAGTGTATCATTGCAATTGAACATGTCAGACAGAATACTGGATACTGAATGGAAATCCTAAGCCACTGCTGTAAAAATGGCCACATACCCTGGACCAAGCTTTGGGACAATAAAAATAGTCAGTCTTCTGTGCCAGGAATTACCTTCGAGAAAGAGCAGGCCAAAGTTAACCTTGGCACTCTGTGCAAGTGTTAGAAAGCAGGAGAGAAACATGAACCTGGGAAGGTGTTCTTTGCTTGATTTCGAATCTGTCCGTGTCCTCAAGGCAATAAGCAAACATTGTTTGGAGGCAAAGTACAAGTAGGTAGGAGGGAAAAAATGGTGTGGGAAAAAAATTCTCTTAGTGATTCTGACCTAACATGATCCACTTATGCTGTAACGAGACACGGCTGAAAATGAGATACAATTCTCAAAGGTTAGCAGTCTTATCTGTGAGTTGAGGAAAAATAATGTTAGTCGGTTATCAGCAGCACATGACCGAGAGGAAACCTTTCCAAGATGACTTACATCCAGCTTCCACAGGAGTCAGATGAGTGGAGAGTGTGAAACAGTGAGTTTGAAAAGAACTGGGATGTTTCACGAGTATTGTCTTGGAGTGAGGTGAGGGAAAAACCCCAAGCAGAGCCTCATCATCATCAAAGCCAAGCAGGGCAGCTAAAGTGCTCAGCCCAAGATAGAGTTACTTTTTGAGTTGATTATTGGCTGAATTGAATGTCACCTCTGTGGTGTGTGTGGTGTGTGTGTGTGTGTGTGTGTGTGTGTGTGTGTGCGTGCACGTGCACGCGTGCACGCATGCACGTGTGTGAATTGGCAAACAAGTAGCATATTACAATAACCATAGCCTAGGTGACTATCTGCTCATGTACATACTGTTTTGATTTTTCAAATGTAATAAAATCTCAAATTTAGCAGAGAAATAATTTTTAAAACTGATTAGGCAGGATACTCAAAATACTCCAAATTCAGTATTTTAAAGCTTCATCACAACTGTATTTATCTCCCTGCTTTCCTTATATATGTTATCTCATATGATATTTTCTCCCCTCGTCCATGATTTCTTTCCTGTCCCTATTTTTCCCCCTGGCCTAGTATTTTGTTTTCATTTAAAAAGTGGAAATAGTTTCCAAAATTCATTTTAAACAGAAGATTTCCGGCTTTCACTGTTGAAATGTATGGAAATTGTGGTGAAGGCAGATGGAAAGTGGTTGGTTCTTAAGAGAGTAAGGGGTGGGGGTAGAAAGGAAAACTGGAAACAGCTTAATGTCTTCCTGGCCAACTTATACTGTGAGTACAGAAATGGATATTTCTTTTGGTACAAATTAAAAGCACAAGAATAACATTTAAATTCTATAAATTTCACTCATGTATGCATTCCCCATATATCTAGTCACCACTAACTATGCATCAGGATCTGAGAATACAGAGACTGGACACACAGGCAAACAGTCAGTCTTTTATGATGTCTAACATAGTAACTCTTCACATATAAAGTCCTCCAAATTTCTAACTCCTGTGTATTTTCACAACGTCTCCTTGAAATGTCCAACCATGTCTGACTCTAAACATGTCTTTTTTTAAGTATAGGGAGAGGGTTTCTTACAGAGACAGTATGTTCCTTAGGTAATGCTGTTAGCTTTAGAGCTATCTTCCCAATGTCTGAATTGACAAAATCCTGTCAACCTTGAGAATATAACTATGATTGACAAGGAAACATCTTAGGCTGAAAACAATTTGGGAGAAAAGTCCATTCACACACGCATAATAGTAGGTAGTAGTGATTAGTTGCACGTACAAACAGATCTTGGTGGCTGCTTAGCAAGCATAAGTTAGCCATGAGAGAGAATAAGCAGGGCTCCACAAATATGTGAGACATCTTTGGCATGGGGTTCTCAATGGAGTTTTGAGAAGCAGGGGCTGGGAAGGTGGCTCAATGGTAGAGCGCTTGCCTTGTATGCATGAGGCCCTGGGTTCCATTCCTCAGCACCACATAAGCAGAAAACACTGGAAGTGGTGGTGTGACTCAAATGGTAGAGCACTAGCCTGGAGCTGAAGAGCTGAAGGACAGCATTCAGGCCTAGTGTTTAAGCCCATGACCGACCAAAAAAAAAATTGTTTTTAATAAAAGGGAGAAGCAAAGTTCCCTCACAGGCAGTGAACCCAATCCAAGGAATTCATATGTATCCTGGGAGAAGCAGAGGACAGAGGTGAAGGGCCTCTGAGAAGCTGTGCAGATTCAGCTCTGAATGACATGGCCTGGACCCTGGTTTTCCCACCTTCCCTCTCTCCCACCCCTACAAGCTCACATCCACACATTGATTTTACTGTCCACTGACCACTCCCTTTGCAAATAGGGAGGAGGCACAGCTCTGAAGGGACTGCATTCTTTACCAAAGAGGCAGAGAGCTTTCAAGTTATTTATGGAGTTAGATGTTTGAATAGTTTTATCCATTGGAATTCAGTGGCAAACTTTATAGGGGATTTAATATGCTACAGACTGAATCGGTTTCTAGGTTGCTTTGTGGTGGTGTCATAGATTGTGTGTGTGTGTGTGTGTGTGTGTGTGTGTGTGTGTGTGTGTGTCCATTTTGAAGATAAACTCAGTAACACTGATTTACATGCCAAATTTAGAGGCTCCCACAGAAAGAAAATGCCCTATAGTACATGAAGTAGATAAGAGGCCCAGGACCAGGGACTTCCTCCTAAGCTTTCATAGAACCTCTGTCATCTTTAAAACGGGCCCAAGCAGCCCACTGCCAAGCTAAATGACACCACAAGACAATAAAGCCGGAGTCTTGGCCAGAACAGGAAAAAGACAATTTCTCTTCCTCTCACAGAGTAGTTAGGAGCTTGCCTGAGGCTAAGGGCTAAGCAGTGTTAAGTGTTATTGTTAAGCAATGTTAAATCCTCTGCCTCCAAAGGAAAATGACTTTCTTTCTTTCCTCCTGAGGGTACGGCTTTAGAAAGCTGAGTGTGGCCGTCATGCAACCTCGTTAGCAAGCACCAGGCCTTCGCTGGTGCCAAGGTCCTACCAGCCTGTGCAGGCCTCCCTTTGCTTTGGTAGTAAACGGAATGAAAATCAGCACCCCCTCATTCTCACCTGACACAAATGATTCCTCCTCACCCTAGGTGAGCAGGGAAGTGGCCATTTCCTGGGCTGCTGCGGGGAGGGGGCAGGGAGGAGCATCCATCCACTTCTATGTGCAAATGGTTTCTTTTCCACTTCAGCTTGCCAGCAGCCTCTTTCAGTGTTCCCAGGCCCCGTCCTGATTGATGGGACCACTCACAGTTAGGTCCTGTCAGCAGTGAACTCTCTGTTCTCCCATCTCAAGCCTCCATCATTCCCACCTGGTCTGTCCCTGGCCCCAGGAGATCCCATTATCCGCTTCTGCACAGATGGCTTCGTGCAGCAGCACACCATGTTGTTCTTCTGGGGTTATAATCAAGCAAGGAGCTCAGCAGAGGGAGCCAGCACCAGGCCACACCGTGCATCTCCTCTGTGCTCCTAGGTGCGTGGGCTATGGAAAGTGGCTGCAGCAACTCATAAAGCGCCTGCTCATTGGTTCCACTACAAAATTCACATTAGGCGACACCAGCTGGGCCCCTGCTGCTAGCCAGCCTCCCTTTCAGTCATGTTGTTGACTCCTCTGACTATCCCCGAGTGGCCACTCCAACCCCTGCTACCTCTGCTAAGTCCTACAAAGATGACTCAGCTCCCCAAGCCCAGTCTCTGGAGATGACCTCACTTCCCCCCCTTTATAACATCAGCCCCGCAACTTCTGCTGCCTGCTGCTTGGCCTGCTGCGCTTTCACTAGCACACGCTTCCTGAGGGGACACACGGAGGGCCAGAGTGTAGAGCCAGGCTCAGAGTACAGCTCTGGCACTGGGCACTTTCCACCAGGGGGGCCTTGGCCCGTGCTTTCTAACCTGATAATTGGGGACGACATTGGGGCCTCCATCCACATACAGGACAGCAATACTGGCAGTGAAGAGGTGTTGTTGTTGTTGTTAGTATTTTGTTTTTTGATTTCATGTGTAGAGAAGTTTTTTTCATTCTGTAAGGAGGCAAGCTCATACCAGAGCTCATTTTCACTGGCTTCTTAAGGACCTGTCACCACCAACGTTTCCTCTCTGGGCTGTATCTATAAGTCATCCCTTCCCTCTACCCTCACCCCCAAGTTGATCCCCTCCCTTACCTGCTATGATGACTGCACAGGCTTAGCTGCACAGATTGATGGGAGTCCCTCCCACCCCATGGGGAATGGGAGAAGCAGTGACTACATGGAGACGAGCTAGGGGTTCTCACTGAAGCTGGGGGATTAGCTGACAGGCCAAAAGTTCAGAGGATGGAAAGACAGAGAACATAGCCACCTGATGTGATCTGATGTGATGCTACAGACTAGGAGACAGCTCTGGTATCTGCAGAAGGGTTTCAAGATGCTAACTAGGGTCTAGGCGAGAAGCCAGAGCCCCTGCTCAACAAGGCGTGTATGAAGGTCTAGGACCCTGGCTCTTGGAACAGACTTGGTATGAGAGCATCAGCCTTTGCTTGGGTGGAAGGAGCATTTGAGGGACTGCCAGTGGGCCGGGACAGGGCAGTGACAAAGACACATCTCCAGGATTTACAGCAGCCAGCTGAGTTGGAAGAAGATGGGCAGGACTACCCCACACACTTGGTCTTATCCATCAGAGAAAAAGTAAGATCTGTCCTCAACCCTCCTGCCTTCTCCAGTGCCCACATTCCTAGGAAAACCTATTCTGGTTGGCTAGATTTCTGCTATACTCTCTGGTTCCAGGCTGGAACTTCCACTTGAAT